CCCTCCATTCAACATGAGCAGTCTACGGCTGAAGCAGAACCGACCGTCCCAAAAGATGAGCCAGTCATTGAGTCTGAACCAGTTGTGACGCAGCTGGAGACGGTCAGCCACATTGAGCCTTCGGCCCAACCGGAGTTGCCTTCCCCAAAGGATGAGCCGCGCGCGCCTGAGTTCGAACTGCCTACTGCCCAGCCTGAGACATCCTTTGTTCAACATGAGCAGCAATCTGCGGCTGAAGTGGAGCCCACCGTCCCAAAATATGAGCCAGTCATTGAGTCTGAGCCCATTGTGGCGCAGCTGGGGTCGCCTGTCCCAAAAGATGATGTGGCAGCCAGCCAACCTGAGCTTTCAGCTCAACCTGAGGTGCCTTCCCCAAAGGATGAGCCGCGCACAGCTGAGTTTGGATTGCCTACTGCCCAGCATGAGACGCCCCCCGTTCAACATGAGGAGCGGTCTGCGGCTGAAGCGGAACAGTCTGAACACATTGTGGCGCAGCTGGAGTCGCCTGTCCCGAAAGATGATGTGCTGGCCAGCCAACCTGAGCCTGAGCTGGATTCTTCTAACGATGAACATCATCCTGCTCAAATTGACCTGCCTGTCAGCCAGCCTGAGACAACTTCTGTTCAAGATATGCAGCAGCCCGCAACTGAAGCAGAACTGACCATCCCAAAGGATGAGCTAGTCGTCGAGTCTGAACCCGTTGTGGCGCAGCTAGAGTTGAAAGATGACGTGCCGGCCAGCCAACCTGAATCTGAGTCGAACTATGAGCCTCACTCTGCTCAACTTGACCTGCCAGCCAGCCAGCCTGAAACAACTTCCGTTCGAGATGTGCAGCAATCTTCGACTGAAGCAGAGCGTTCTGTCCCAGAAGAACCATTGACTGCCCAACCTGAGCTGGCTACCAATGAAGCTGACACTTCGGACACCCAACTGAAGTCACCAGTCTCAAAGGATGACTTCCAATTCGGATTTCCAGTTGCACAAACTGAGCAGCCTACGGCGAAAGACGAGCCATCCGTTGAGCCATCATTCTTTCAATATGAGCAGTCCACAACTGAAGCAGAGCGCTCCATCTCCAATTATGAGCCATCGATAGTCCAATCTGTGCCGGCTACCGGTGAAACCGAAGCTTCAGACGCACAACCCAAGTCACCCGCCGGAAAAGATGATTTCCAATTCGAGTTCGAGCACCCTGGCGCGAAAGACGAGCCGTCTGCTTCCCAGCCTGGGTTCGATGTCTCAAAAGGTGAGCCGTCGGTCACTCGAACTGAACCCGAACCTGCCTCAAGAGATGACTTTTCTCAATTCGATTTTCCAGTTACGCAAACTGAAAAGTCTGCAGCGAAGGAAGAGCCCTCTGTTACCGAGCTTGAATTAGATGTCCCGAAGGATGAGCCAACAGTCCTTCAAACCGAGCCCACTGCCGAGGAACATGAGTCTGCTACGCAACTGGAGCCATCTGCCCCAAGGGATGACCCGTCTCAGTTTGAGTTTCCCGTCATTCAAACAGAACAATTAACATTGAAAGACGAGACGTCGATTCAGTACGACCCGGCTGCCAGTGACCTCGAATCTTCTGTCCTAGAGCTACCCGTCCCAAAGGATGAACCGTCTCAGGCCGTGCCACCCTCCAGTGAGCCTGAGCCGCCTGCCAGCGAGCCGGAATTGTCCACTGCGCACCAGGAGTCACCATCTGCTCCAAAAGACGAGTCGCCTCTCAACCCGCCAAATGTGCTCACCAGTGACCCAGAACCAGTTCCTGTTGAGCGGCCTACTATTCAACCGGAGCCGACCGTCAAAGTCACAGAGCCTCAGTCGCCTGTCCCGAAAGAAGAGTCGCCTGTCACTGAGGCGCCTGTTAGTGAACCCAAGCCGCCTGCACAAGAAAATGGCCTATCTGCCGCTCATCCTGAGCCGGCCATCAGTGAATCCAAACCGACCAGTACGAAATCAGAGTCTGCCCCGAAGTCGTCCTTTGAAGCCGCGAAATCAGTCTTCTCCGTTGGTGACTCCAACAGTAACTGGCCGCTTCCTGATAGTCCGCCGACGAACAAAGAAAATGGTCAGCCTGAGCAAAGTCCATCTTCTGAGAAGGGCATGCAGGACACGACAAATGGTGAGACAGCGCCACAGCTTACACCTCAGCCTAAAAATAAGATAGACGCGCTTTCTCCGAAATCTTTCCATTCATACGAAGACGTCGAGAATCTGGGTGACTCTCCCGCGCAAAGGCCGACTGTGCCGCCCAAGTCACCACGCACGCCTAATTCTGACCAGAGATGGAGTCCACAAGTTCGGCATTCATCGCAGTCTCCATCTCCCCTCAGAACAAGCTACAAGGGGAACCAGATGGATTCGCCCGTTGGCAGTCCTCAGCAGCGGACATTTAGTGGGTTCGGGTTCGGCTCGATCCTCTCATCTCGACACAAATCCTTACCTTCTCCCCCGGTTCCTCCCAAAAGAACCGACACGCAGCTCTCATCGCCAAGTTCTTCAATATCATTAGTCCCGCAGGCTGATGAGTCCTTGGAGGTCATCGCGGAGTTCTTCACAGCTTTCCCCAAAACAACTGACCGGGTGGACATTGATCCTCAGCTGATGCTTACCACTCGGGATAGCGATTCCAAAATCCGAACCTTGAAGAAGCAGATATGGGAGATCACGGGCGAGGGCAAGAGACAAGACCTTCCCATCAACCAGGAGTATATTCTCTACGAGGGCAGCATGTACTTGTGTGTCCACACGTTTGAGTTTGAGTCGGACGGCAGCACACGCTCTGAGACTCACTTGTGGTGTGGTGACGACGTGCCGGACCATGCCATAGACGATGCTCAGACCTTTGCTCGCAAGGTGGCTAAAGAGCATAGTTGCAAGCTTGAGGTTATCAAGCAAGGTAAGGAAACTGCCCGGTTCATCCAAGCGGTCGGAGGCATTCTGATCACGCGTCGTGGATCGAACTCTCGCTCAAGTTTGTCGGCCTTGTACATGCTTTGCGGACGGAAACACCTGAAGCAAATGGTGTTCGATGAAGTCGACTTTACGCGACGCAACCTGTGTTCCGGCTTCCCGTTCGTGATCTCTGCGCCGTTTGGCAAGTTGTATCTGTGGAAAGGAAAAGGAAGCACCGCAGAAGAAATCGGTGCGGCTCGACTCATTGGCATGGACCTTGGTTTGACCGGAGAGTTTGAAGAGGTCACTGAAGGCGAGGAGCCAGAGAGCTTTTTCGAAATCTTCAGCTACCGGGATACAGAGGAGTATCTGCGTTCGGACGACTGGCAGCTCAAGCCCAACCATGAACAGTTCCGTTGCAGACTGCTTCGCGTCGACCACGAACTTGGCCAGCGGTCTGGATTCTGGATGCGACGTCCTGGTTCTTCGTCTCCGATTATTCGGCCTAATGATACTGTTCAGGCGATTGAACCATATTGCTACAAGGATATCACGCCTAAGGGGATTTACATCCTTGATACCTACTTTGAGCTTTATGTGTAAGTGCCCTTCCAATCGTAATTAACTATGAGTCGGTCATCTAACGTTTGTTGCAGAATCGTTGGTGAGCAGGCTGCTCATCGCCCCGCCGAATTCGCGTCGGCTGTGGTGTTTGCACACGAATATGGCATCCTGGCTGCTTCTCTTCAGGACCGTCCATTCATTCCCAAGAGTTACGTTTCTATCGGTGGCGCCCCGAACTCGTGTCGAAGTGCGTTCCGCAAATGGCACAAGGAGGCCTGGAAGCTACCTCCGCAGGTGTTTCCCTTGAACGCGGCAATTGATGCCATTCGAACTTGATACGATATTTTTTTATCTTTCGTTTCCCCTCTTTTCGATTCTTCTCTTCGTTTGTCCATATGTGTGCCATTTTTTTTCTTTTAATATTGTGCATACTTGTTCGTTTTTTGTATAGAGATGGTTTGCCCTGGCATGGTAGATAAGGGAGCATGGGTCCATTTTTCCGGACGCGGCGATGGCGGGAATTCTTTTTCTTGTCTAGTACTTGCATGTTGGAGTTGTTTGTTTTTATTCATGTGGAGGGCGTTTTCATTTTGATGTATGATATTTAGACATTTTGTTCCAGATCGGAGACATGTCCATAAGTGTATGCAGTCTAATGGTATACCATCATGTCTATGATCATGGCCACAACAGTTCCTTCACCCAGCCAGCACAATCTGCCTTTCGAACATACTGCAACCGCTGATGAAGCCGATCAGAAGACCCCTGCCAGAACTCAACCGCCACAGGATCAACAGCATACACCTTCCACTCCGGCATCGACACCTCATCCTCCTTCCCACTCGCCATAGCTTCTTCTACCTCCGCAGCACGCCTCACGAGCACTTCCCGATCCTCAAGCACCCGACTCTGCACCGACGCCATCGCACTAACTCTCGACCCCAACGACCTCTCCCCAAAATCCTCACCACACTCCTCCTCACCCAACACCACCACCCTCCCCCTAACACGAACCTGCCTCCCAACGCCCGGCCAATAAAACGTTAACGCCATATTCCGATTCCCATGCGGCTGTCTGGCCTTCGGACTCCCGCCCTTCGCGGCAAAATGCCACCCGCGCTCATCGAGGTTCTTGAGGATAAGCACCCGGGCGTCTGGGTAGTTGTGCTCATCGGTTGTGGAGGCGGTCATGGTGTGAGGTTCGGGGATTTGGGAGGATATGGCGTGGGAGAGCCATGTTTGGAAAGTTTCTTGGGGCGTGGGTGGGAATTCATCGGGGTTGGAGGACGTGTTGGGGAAGGGACCGGTTAGGACGGGGAGGGTGCGGAGAGTGGATTTGATTGGGGTGTCTGGCATTGTGTTTGGCATGTTAAAGTGGCTTTTAAGGGTGGAATTGAGTTGAATTGATGGTTTTCTGTAAGTTACTGCAGGGTTGTTGGTAGAAATAGCTATAGTCTTCGATGTGTCAGTGCGGAGAGAATGAGTCGTGGCTGACCTTTATAGTTACTATTCTAACGAAGTACTACGTGCAAAAAATGTGTTCTAAGTTAAAGAGTCAAGTTGGATCAGAAGGGAGAACCCAAGTTCCTAGAGGGCTATAATGGCTGTATAGATACTGGACTCGGCGGGGCTGGCAGTTGGATATCTTGATTGATAAGGGACATCAGTGATGGCAATGCCCAATGGAGCTAATCCAGAGAAAGGAAAATATTGTATTCACTAGGTCAAATTGAGCTAGTGAATAGCTAGAAAGAATACTAGCAGTGAATATAATGGCGTGATCAGGGTATTCACTGCCCTACCCTACTTCCCTATCTCCCCCGCGGACCCAATTCCAACAATCGGAATTTTTTTTCCTGAACTTTTTCTTCTCCTCACACCACTTTTTTCTCTCCACAACCGACCTCGAACTGTGCAGTGTATTCCCCTTGTCCTGCTGAACCGATTGATTGATTGTCCCAGGCTAATTAGTTATTTGCTTCTCATTCCTAGTCGAATATGTCCTGATTCCCGTTTCCGGAAGTCGCCGCCGTTGTCGCCGCTGTAATGCACGCAGTTCCCTGACCTGACCTTACCTTGACCATATTTTGTATATTGATTGACTCGTACATACATCATCTCTGTTTATATCGCAAAAACAACCAAAATGGACCCTGTCGTCCAGCGCGAGCTCTCCCAGCTCGACCCCGCGGTGTCCTTCCGCGCCTCGATGGACCACCTCCACCACACCTGGGCGAAGACCTTCTTCTCGCGACCAGAGCTCTACGTCCGCCCGCAATCTATCCCCGAGATCCAGAAACTTGTCACCCTCGCGCGCCGCTGCCGTCGTCGTCTCGTGGTCGTGGGCAGCGGCCACTCGCCCTCCGACCTCACCTGTACGTCATCCTGGCTGGTGAACCTGGACGGTTTCAACCGCATCCTGGACCTGGATACTGAAACGAGTGTTGTGACCGTCGAGGCGGGTATTCGGCTATGGCAGCTTGGCGAGGAACTTGAGGAATATGGATTGACGTTGTCGAATCTGGGCAGTATTGATAGCCAGTCGATTGCGGGGGTGATTGCGACGGGTACGCACGGCAGCTCGATGCAGCATGGATTGTTGTCGGAGTGTATTTTGTCGTTGACTTTGATGCTCGCGAATGGGCAGCTGGTGCGCTGCAGTCCCGATACGAACCAGGCGTTGTTCCGGGCGGCGCTGGTTTCGCTGGGTGCCTTGGGTATTGTCGTTGAGGTGACTTTCCAGGCGGAACCGACATTCAAGGTCGCGTGGCAGCAGCGCAGACGGCCGTTGTCGCGTGTACTCGCTGATTGGTCTAATGGATTGTGGACGTCGCATGAGTTTGTTCGGGTTTGGTGGTTGCCGTATGAGAAGAGTGCGATTGTCTGGCATGCGGATAAGTCTGATCTGCCTGAGATTGAACCGCCCAGCTCTTTCTATGAACAGACGCTGGGTCACCATGTCTACCACAACTTGCTGGCGTTGTCGAATTACTTCCCGCGCATTCTGCCCTGGGTCGAGTGGCTTGTATTTGGATTGCAGTATGGTTTCAAGGCGGAATCTGATGTTACGGAGGCGGTTCAGCCGGCGCGCAAGGGTCTGCTCATGAACTGCTTGTACTCGCAGTTCGTCAACGAGTGGGCTCTGCCTTTGGATAAGGGTCCGGAGGCCATAATCCGTCTGTCTGCCTGGCTCCACGGCGACGTTGAAACGGCTCGCATTCCCTTCCCCGTGGAAGGTGTCTGGGTTCACTGCCCCGTCGAAGTGCGAGTCACCAATTCAACGTTGAACAAGAACCCCCGTCCGTTCCTGGACCCTACCAGCCGTGACAGCCCCACTCTGTATCTCAACGCAACCCTCTACCGTCCGTACCTGCGCGACCCGCCCTGCAGAGCCCGCTACTACGAAGCCTTCGAATGGCTCATGCGCGAAATGGGCGCCAAACCACACTGGGCCAAGAACTTCACCGCGAGCAGCAACCAGGAGCTGCGCGCATTGTACGGCGAGGACATGGATGAATGGCTCAAGGTCCGCCAGGAAGTCGACCCCGATGGCATGTTCCTCGGCGAATGGCACTACCGCAACCTGCCACTTTCCGCTACGGCTGATACCGAAGATGACACTGAAATTCGCAGCAGACCGGATATCAACGCCCTCCCTCTCCTAGAGCGCGAGGTCATCCGTCGCCACGCGGGATTCGAGGGCGCTGGTGACGGTGTCGAATGGATCGGTGATAAGCGGTGGCAGGAGGTGTCTGATGAAGAGCAGGTGCAGCGCCGCCGTCGACAGAATGTCGCTGTAATGGATGAGTCGGAGGAAAAGAGGTTCTTTGAGTACGAGACCAGTGAGACCGGCACGGTGGCTAGTGAGGAGAGCTTTGATTTGATGGCTGCCGGGGAGGCGAGTATTACTCTTCCTGAGCGAGTTCATGATCCATGAATAGACCATGCAGTACGATACATGATACATGATATTGATGACAAAAATGACAAGAAACGCATTGTAACCTTTTTCTTTTCTTTTTCTTTGATATCCCTGGAGGTATACAACCTGGGCAGGGGTATTGATAGTCTACCGCCATAGCCGGGGGGAAAATGAACTAGGTTTATCCTTCGTATTCCAACAACGGGGTTTTCTTTCTTATTCGCCGGTCATCCTTTGTTTATTTGACTCGAGGTTCAGACGTTGTACATTAATATCCGAATAGAAATGCAAGTAATCACTTATCCCGACGCTGAAGAATCCAACCCTTGTCTCTGACGTACAGGTACATGTACATAGTACATAATATTTCAGCCCGATAATGGATCTATGTAATTTTAGACCAAAATGAGGGTTTTTGTTCGTATGTTTTGACACCAGACCCGATATCAACAGGCATCCATAGCGTGGCAAACAAAAACGGCATCCTCTTCTCCGGTAGTTGGCACTAGATGATACGACGATTGGTGCCCTCATTTCGATATCAACTGTCAGAATGCGATGTCATCTTCATCCCAATCCTTTTCTATAACTCCCGCTTTAAGAGTAAGAGTAAGTAAGACTTCATGTCAGATATCAGATGTCAGATGTCAAAGGTGGTATTGCTGTAGTACTATTTGTCAGTAGGAGATACATCGAGTACAGTGGTAGTGACAGGCAGATGACCACTGCGTAAGAATACTTGTATGCAAGAAGGACTGGGATGGTGAGCCTTTGGTATTAGCGTCAGCATTGGGTTTTTGGCAGACACTTGACCCTTGACGGTATGGTAGGGTAGGGTAAGTCCCGTGATAGCTCTTGTGGCTTTGCCTCTTCATTTCGACGTCACTTTGCTTTAGTTGTTGGTCGAGTTAGCGACGTCACGGGATATTGAGTTGGTAGCCCTATGTGGATAATGCACATGCCATACTAAAAGTGTAGTTGAAATCGCGAGTCTTGGAAAGGGTTACTATTCAGGAGGAACAACTAACAACGCCAGGGGAGACCGATGCCGTAGTAGCTGTGCTGCTAGCAAGTTAAGAGTACTTAGTATGAGCAGCGTAGTCCTGGTTGTTTGGCGCGTTTGGTAATTTAAAGTAGTTCTATTAACTTAGGTTGTAAAATTAATCAACTTGAAGAAGGATATATGCATCAAATCCGACATAAACATAAACCGATATCAATAACAGACTAATAAGCCACCCGCCATGAGAATCAAAATACCACACGAGAAACATGAAAGCCAAAGGGGGTGATATGAACATCATTAGCCGCCGACGGTCCTGTCCTGCAGCCATCCAACCTGATATACGCCCCAATTCATCAAATCCAAATCAAGAGCAGAAGAAAAAAAGAATCAAATCCATATCCCCTCCCCCCGTTTCGGAACATGAAACTCACACCCTAACTTCGCAGCCTCCCCACGATCCCTAAGTTCCTGCAAAATCCGATCCCCAGGGGGCGGCCCATCCGTCAAATCTTCTTTAATATGAATGATATACACAGATAGACCCGCCAACGGAGACGTATCCAGCCCAGCCCAGGGCAGATTCTCATCATCTGGCGGGTTCTGGTCAATTGAGAACTGGACCTGCATCGGCTCACTTGTAGGGTTCCCGTCGACGCCGTCGAGCATGGGGGTATTGAAGGTCGGCGATATCGGCTGTCCGTTTGCTTCAGGGATAGGAACGAGGTCTCCCCAGATCTCGCCCGAGTTGACTCTCGTCTGGCGGCCGCTGTTGGATTGGGGGAGGTAAGGGTATGGTTCTGATCTGCGTCCTTGTGCTTTTTCAGCTGCGAAGCTTTGGGCGCGTTTGGAGCGAGGGCTTACGCCGCCTGGGCTGCTGGCTGTGCGTTTGCGTTTTGAGGATGTGCTTGGGTGGCGGATTTCTGTTACTTTGGTGGCTAGGACTTTGAGTTCTGCGACTAGATGGCGCGGGCAGAGGTGGCCGTAGAGGGTGCAGTCTTCGACGGAGTCGTCATAGGAGCATTCGATGAAGATTGCGCGTAGATCGCCTGTGGCCATTTTTGGTGCTGCGACTTCCCAGACGCGTTTGTTGCGGGGGTCCATGGAGATGGGGTCTGGTTCGATGTCGCCGAAGACGATTATTTCGCTGCCGGTGAATTGGTCTCGGATGAAGAATGCGGAGCTTTCGACTGTTGCCCAGGTTTGGTCTTTTCCGAAAAGGCGTGGTGAACGGGCTGGAGAGTAGAATCTGATGACTGTCAACTGATGTCCAGAGTGCTTCGTAGACATAGATCACCTACCCATCCGTGCGATCAGCAGATATGCCTCTGGGAGGTAACATCAATGGATCTGCCGCAAACACCGTACTGCCCACGCGATGGTGCGACTCGGACTCGGAATTGTATCGCTTCTTACAACGACCATGGCTGATACTGAGACACCTCGTCAATAGACCGTCAGCCGCACGAACATAACCTCTTGCATCTCCGCGGCCAAATCTTGAGTTCCCTCCTTCAACCAAGCGTTGGTATGTGAGCAAGCCCGCTCCGCCATCCTCATCAGACAGATTCGGCCAGATCACATCGTTAAACATATGGTTCTTGATCGCAGCAACTACCGACGGCAAGGCAGCCACTGCTTTAGGTCCGGCGCCGGCTTCGATTATCGGCGTGTTGATCGCCAATCCGGACAAGTGATCCAGATGCGCATGCGTGACAAGGATCGTACCGATGATTTCTCGGAAGATGTGCGCTGCGTTTGCCGGGGGCGACTTATATGGTAGATTAAAACCGACAAACGGACCATCTTTCATGTATCGCTTGCCGTCCTTATTTTCCATCTCGTACTGCTCCAGCGTTCGAATAATACCGGCGAGAAGGGTGCCTGCATCGACCGCCACCATTGAGTTTGATGACCATTGTGTCGCTGTTGACCTCACTAGCAGTCCAGTCACGCTGTCTTCGCGAGGTCCTCCTGTAGGGCCCTTTTCGAGAATATATTAGCTGTTTGTCTCAGATGCCAGGTGCCGAACTAGCTGCATAACGCTGCATGCAATGGGTTGCTTTTTCTCTGATAGTAAAGTACTGCCGGATAGTGACGATAATACAATTGACTAAGTCCAGAGATGCATATATTATACGGGTTGGAATTCTAAAGCGGAAAAGGAAAGGGGACAAGAAAAGAAAAGAGAAATCGAGACTCACCAAGACAATGACCTGAAAGGTCGCCTTGTCCGCCATATGGCCGCGCTGTCTGTTTTTATGCGAGTATGCGAACCAGATACTCAAAACGAGGCCTCAGGCTGCGCAAGCAAGACAAGTGCACAATGCGACTCGAGTCCAAAATCTCACTTCCAGACACGGCAGGTGTACCGTCAGAACCGCCTTAATCCTCTAGCCAAGCCCAATGTTCATCTAATAACCATCCCATTCCTTAGGCAAAGGCAGGAGACTCTTGTATCACCGTAGCCACACGGTGCTCATGGATCGAAGAACGATCGAACTGCCCTCCGTCCACTCGAACTTCGCCCGTTGACACGAATCCAAAGCTCAAGGTCCTCCTCCAGTATATATATCGCTTTCTGCCCTTATGCCCAACACGAGACCATTCAGCCAAGTCGATGACGGCGACGAAAACGACGAAATGCGAACGAGAAATTCGAGGGTATATAATAAATCGCGACACGAAATCAAAGTTGGCGATTAACTGCGGCAGATAAATCCGATCCGATCGGGGCGTTGGGGCAAAGACGCCCTAGAGCGCACGGACAAAAGACGTATCGAATACGTATGCGACAGGGGACCGCGTAGCGAACTTTGATTCTGTGCGTCTTCAAATCAGAATAAGACATATGGATAGGCTGTGAGTGGATGGTAGGTGGAGGAGAGAGGGGACGAGGCTAGGCTGAGCGATCAGATGGGCGATGGACGGACGGTGGGTGAACGAACGATGGGGGCAGGGCGCAACTCAGCGCTACGCTACACAACCAGCCACACACTGTTTAACCCCTTGGCGCAGGAAAAGGAAGGCAATGAGATTGTTGTCTTTAGTTGGAAAATTCAGTTGGGGGAAGGAGAAAGGAAAAGAGAGGAGATTGAGGAGGAATGATATCATCTGGTCATAAGATAATGATTAATCTGGAGATCTTGTGGGGAAACAACAACACACACCGGGGAAGAACTGCGGCTGATTACTGGAATAGGATACCGAGTATTATACTGATATCTACTGGTCATCTTTTCTAATTCTCTCGTTAGTTAAGCTATTGAATATATGTGTGCCGCAGGCAACCTATAGTGATGTGAACTCGACGACGACTATTGTCCCCAACCATGGAGTTTACATTTCTAAGGCTAGCAAATGTATTTACAGTCTATGAGACGTCAACGACAAGATGAGAGCCGATAATACCTACGTCTAAAAGTCAATGACTTGCAAGTTATGGCGAGAGAGCAAGCTTATGCAAATCATCATCCCATCACGGCGACTGTCCTAAAGACACTGCACTCCATAGCCTCCTCCGAACAGCAGCAAAACACGGCTGGCAGAGGTGTTTTTATTGCCATAGAGTTGTTGAATTGATCCAAGGGCGTTACCACATGACGTGAGAGATGTCTTTTTTTTGCGTTTCTGAGATGATGCTGATAGTTGATGGAAAAGATGCCCCTGCGGCGCCGAGTTCTGCTATAAATGCGGCAAAAAATGGAGAAGCTGCTTCTGCGTTCGATGGGACGAGCACTTTATACTACACCCAGTTGGCCGCGCTAACGAGGTTGCAGACCAACACGATGACGATGACGATGATGACGACGATGAAGATAAAGATAAAGATAAAGATAAAGATGATGAAGACTAGGAGGAGAAGGCGGCGGAAGAAGCAACAGGGGAAGGGGAAGTGCAAGAAGAAAATGAGGATGAAAATGACTGTACTCAAGAGGCATGGGAGCCTTTTGGAGGACAGCATGAATGCAATAAGTGCAGGAATTTGTATGTCTGTTGGTGTCGAGAGTGTGGGATCCAAGTCTGCCGTCCGTCTAGGAGGGACTTCTATCCTATCATCTAGTAAGTTAGCATCGTATGCTATGGCACTAGTTATCTGTGTTGAATAGTACTGTTTCGGCAATCATTTGGGTTCATCTTCAGAGACCAGGTTATGAATTCGACGAAAGCTATGCAGGAACACATGAAAAGCATAGAAGAGTAAAGAAGATAACCCAAGGCCATTGGTGTTCTAGCCAGGTCAATATATATAGTTCCATTTTTGATCCCCAAATGCCCCAGCCAGCTTACCGTACCGAGGTAAGATACATGGAGTACATCATAAAAGCGCCAGAAAAGATAAAAAGAAGAAAGATATCTCCCAATCCTATATACGTAACATCATTTCAAGGCCACTTCCCATGTGGCATAACCATAAAGCAAATACAGCCAGAATCTCGCCCATGAAACGCCGACCATGGCCGCTAAATCGGATGATAGAAAGAAAGAAAGGAAAGAGCGCCAAATAACGGAAGAAACAAACGATCGCGTGTTGCACTGCAACATCACGACTTAACGGTTTTCATTGTCGCGGCCTTGGTTTTCTTGCAAGTGACGATTTTGGGCAGCCACAGCAGCATCGTAACTGGGTATCGGTGGATGTTGCGATGCATCACTGCCTCGGCGACTGCCCTCGGGGCTGGTATATTCAGGAGGCGGAATGTTATCAATATCTTCCTGATTCAAAAGATGGGTACGCTCGTCGTCTTCAACATGACTACTTGATCCTTCGCCAATATCTTCCTGGGAGGGCACATGAGCCAGCTGTGCGAGCGAGATGTCGGTTGGCGATCGGATAGGTCCAGGGCTAGGAGACGGTGCAATTCTAACAGTTGAATCGGTATGGGCGTAATGGGCATTCTGGTAGACCCGATGAGAGATTTGCGCTGCACTCTCTCGACCAGACTCGAGCAAGATGCTGCCGTGTTCGCTTCCATACGGCGGGGGTGGTGCTAGACTGCCGGTCATCGGAGCCAGTCCCCATTTCTTGACGTTGGCTTCGATAAATACAAATCCCATCTGACCAAAGTTGACATGGACAGAGCAGGGGCCGTTCGCGCCAATTGTCGGGAAGAAGTTGGGCACCTTCTGACCGTGGACCACCTCTTCCATCTTCTTACCGTTGCGAGTGAAGAAAATTGTGCCTGATCGAGGCCGGTATCCCACACCAACCACATCACCTTGCGCGAGTTGAGGGCCGTACGGGGTTGGTGTGAACGGTTGGTTGAATCTGCGATGACCGGTCGATAGGTATGCAACGGACGCTTTGTGGAAGCCTGGATCAAGAACAAGATGTCAGCAAATTTCTCAAATGCGAAGATGATCTTTGAATAAACCCACCTGGCAATCTAAACAACGGATACGGCTTTGTTGACATGCCAATACTGACTAACGTAGTCTCGGGCTTCTCAAAGACCTTCGCTTCCCAGTAGTAGACATCGTTTTGCTTGGGCACAGGAAGATTTGCCTGGACGCTGCATTCGGAATCAAAGAATTCAATCTCCGTCCGAGCTTCGACAAAACAGTTGGCGATTTCGAGTTCTGGCTGAAATTCCCACGCGGAGACACCTTTCTCTTGGATGGCAAGGAACTGAGACAGCGAGATATCGGTCTGCACCGATTCGGGAGGGTTGGCATCGACAAAGGCTGATCTGACTTAGCACTCGGCGCTATCATTAGACTATTTCAAAAAAAAATTGAACTCACCTTTCGCTCTCATGTATTCCGACCGCGAAATATCATCCATCGTCCCCAGAGCCTCCGCCTCATCGCGCAAAAACGCCTGTTCATCATCGTATTCACCCGGTCGCCCAATGCGATCCAATATAATCCGACCACGTCTTGTGTACTTGAAAAAGAAAAACAAGGCCAAGATAAGAACCGCAACCCCCGCAGAGCCAAAGGCAGAGAGAATGCCGATCAGGATTCCCTTTCCGGTCGAGCCGGACGAGTTGCCACTGACGGAGACCAGGCTGTGATCGCGCTCGAACTGCGCGGACACGGAACGGAGGACATTTTCAATATTATGGGAGACGATCTCCGGGTCGGTGTTCGGTCTTGGGAAGGATGAAGGCGTGGGAGTGCTGGTGCTTAACACGGAAGTGGTGAGGGTCGAGGGAAGACCGTAGATAGCACCGGGGCCCGATGCCTCAAATCCCCGCATTGTTCATGGACAGATCGGGTATTCAGGAATGAATCTGAGTGTTTGTTGTATAGAGGAAGATGCAAAGTCGTGGAGGAGTAGAAATCAGGCACGAATGCGAGTCAGGATGGGATGATGGGAGGATGATAGAATAGTGTCGGAGTGAAAAAAAAAAAAAAGGCAGCTGAAGAGAGTAGGGAGGATGACGCTATGGCAGGGCAGAACGAAAAAGGCAGGAGAAAAACGCTTGCGGCCACAGACAACGGTCGCGTTCATTCAGTCTGCCTTGGGGGATTTCTTTCTATATGCATGTGAGGCATTGAAATGAATTAAAGAGACAAGAATAGCTGTTTTGTTTCTTATTCATTGTCAGAATATTCCGTACTACTGCTGCATCGTGAGGCTGAGCCTGAGGCTGACCGCCGAGGATGCGATCGCTATCAGTAGATAACCGGAGCTGACAGTATCACCTCTCTTACTGTTGCTCGGACTCAGCTATCTCTCTTCCTGTCTATCTCTATTCAAGTGTATTCCCAACTGTTACCTTACCTACCAGAATGGGTGCAGTGTCTCATCCCGAGGAGGCTGTCCTGGCACAGGCCAATGTCAACATCCATTCCCTGGATGCCTTGAATATCCGTCTAGAGATAAGCAACGACCACAACAAATATCCAGGTTCGTGAGTGGCTATGCTACCCTGCCATCCTGATTATATGTCTTCTTTGTACTGCGATAAAAACAAAGACTACTCTGTAGACTGACGGGACTAGCAAAGCAACATGCTCGCAGAGTCGCAGCGAAACTAGGAGCTACCCACGGCCTTATATATCTTGCCGGAACGCCAACCGTCAACTGGGGTGACTCAGACCAAGCACGCCCGTTTCGACAGAGACGCTACTTTTACTACCTCAGTGGTGTAAATGAAGCAGATTGCTATCTGACATACGATATCGAAACGGACCTCTTGACGCTATATGTTCCGAACTTCGACCTTCATCAGGCGGTATGGATGGGGCCTACCGTCACCAAAGAGGAGGCAGAGGCACGCTACGACGTACACCAGGTGTGTTATTTTAATTCTTTACGGGGGGATCTTGAACAATGGGCAAACCAATACAACAAGACGAGTCCCATCTATATCCTGCACGAAACGCAAAAACCCATCATCTCGTCTTCTGGGGATCTGTTGTTGGACTCGAAGCAGCTGCAGCCTGCAATAGATGCTGCCCGGGGCGTGAAGGATCACCATGAGATTCAGTTAATCCGCGAAGCGAACCGGGTATCTGGCCTAGCTCATCGCAAGATTCTCGAGACTATTCATGAGATGACCAACGAGGCGGAGATTGAAGGCTCGTTCTTGGATACCTGCGTCTCCCATGGCGCGAAGAACCAGGCATACGAGATTATTGCCGGGTCTGGTGAAAACGCAGCTGTTCTTCACTACGTCAGGAACGACGAGCCACTCAAAGGCCGGCAGCTGGTCTGTCTGGATGCTGGTGCTGAATGGGATTGCTATGCCAGCGACGTGACGCGGTCATTTCCTCTGACGGCGACGGGCGATTGGCCCAGCGACCAAGCCAGGGACATCTACCACCTGGTAGAAGAGATGCAAGAGGAATGTATCAAACGCATCAAGCCGGGTGTCCGTTTCTTAGATTTGCATGCGCTGGCACATGGTATTTTGATCCAAGGATTACAGAGGCTGGGCATCCTTCGACACGGGTCTGTGGAGGAAATTCGCCAATCGGGGGCGTCTACAGTGTTTCTGCCACACGGCCTAGGGCATCACCTTGGGCTGGAAGTTCATGACGTGTCGGAGCGGTCACTGATGGCACGCGGTGACAGTGGATTCTACGCGTCGGTCCTTGTTTCGACCTTGACCCATTCCCCGTGCACGTTGACCGCCTCGGGATTGGAGGAGGGCATGGTGGTGACAGTCGAACCAGGGATCTACTTTTCTCGACTGGCACTTGACAACGCGCGAAAGCAGAAGAAGCTAGCGCAGTACATCAACCTGGAGGAGGCGGAAAAATACATATCGGTTGGCGGTGTGCGCATCGAAGACGACATTTTAGTGACAGGAACGGGGTATGAGAATCTCACGACGGCGCCCAAAGGAAGCGAGATGCTAGAGATTCTCCGGGGCCGGATCGACCACTAGTCACCCTTTAATATATGAGTCCTGCATTAGGCGACCGGAAGATGGGGCCTTTGACGGTGCGGTAGGGGATAGCACCTTCCTTAAGAGGGCTAAAGCGGGAAGGGGAAGTGGCGGAAGGTGGATAAGTACGATGAAACTGCTCCATCGGACGTGTACACCGTAAAGTGCACAGCTCTCGCAGCTGCCCAGCTGTCCCCAGAGGGCAGCCCACAATTCATCTGGATGGAAAAATGCCATGCTTCTAGACCGGTTTCTACTGGACCAGCTCATTGTACCTGTCTGTCTCTACGAAGTACTACTAATAGTATGCACACCGCATACAAGTAGCGAGTACGTAGACGTCTCCAGCAGCAAACACATGGACCAACCCGAGGGGCTCCGTATTGTGTGCGATTTTTTTTTTTTCTTTGCCAGTAGTGACTTGACTTGACGAGTCAATTATTGCATCGTTTTCTATCATTTTCTATCACTGACATAGTGACGGGAATGATATGATCTGGAATGTGGTCAGGATATCCAATAAAAGCGGCGTTGTGTTATGCGTGCTTATTTTGGTCATTGTGCGATCCCGATTTGAATTACAGTACACTGTACTATGAATTGTCATGACCCGTCAGGCGCCGATCGGACCGTCCGGCAGAGATCACCTAAATGCGGCATTTTGGCAGACATGCAGAAGGGATCGGGCCGGCATCGGTGGCGTATGGTATGGTCATTGTATGGTCAGTAAACGGTATGTTACAGCTACCGGAGTGAGTGTCTGGGACTCCGATGAAACAGATCCAGTCATTGTCAGGCCACTCTCTCTGAATAAGGGAAATTGAGGGAAATGACGGGATGAGGTCATTTTGTCACAGGATTTTCTCAGAGGAATTCCTCAAATGGCGTGATTTGACCTTGTGGGCGAAAATTGACATTTCTAGCATTCGTGATTAGGGTCAGGCTATGACCACAATTGACATGATTTCTGACTAGATATCGCCAATATTAAGCAATAGCCTGCGCCCATGTACCTGCTCTTGGGTATTCGTGCTTCTAGACTGCAAGCTCACTGGTGGAACCACACTATTTCCTGGTGGAACCCGATGGTCTAAATTTTCTTTTCGGGAACGACGGGTGATCGTACAGAGTACAGGTCTGCCTATATGGGTACCTTATTTGGCATCTCTGTTATAGTGACTCACACCACCCCTTTTGTGTATATATTCAATCCCTCCCTTCCTTTTCTTCCGTTTCTACTTTTTTTTTTTTCTTTTCCTCAATTCATCACATCCTTTCGGGGGTGTTGATCACTCCTCTCTCAATGCCTCATCTCCTCTCCTGGTGATTTTTGTGATTCGCAATGCTTTGCTTTGTTTGAATTTTACGATTTACGACAAAAAGAAAAATTTGCACCTCTTTAATCCTCCTCCAATCAATAGAATGGGCCACAGACACAACAGACGCCATTCTCGATTAAGACCAAACCGCAACTGCAACATCGATACCTTCAATTCCACCCCGATCGACAGTGATCTCTTCTCGCGATCCCTCGCCCCGACCTGGCATTATGGATCCGTGAATTGGACGCACGATCGCCCGCTGCGGTTTGAGATGGAGCAGTGTCGACTTTTTGGTGATGAACCCGGGGATAATTATGGGCTTTGGAATACTTTGGCGGCCTCGACTACATCAATTCGTAAGTATACCCTACTTCTATCCCTTTCTTTCAATTGAACGAGTTCTAACATCTCCCAAGTTCACAGTCGAGACTCCCCGGATGATTGAACGAAAAAGTTAAAAAAGTTATGCGCTTTTGTCTTCACGATGTCCTGATTTCGTCCTTCGATTTATGAAACGAAAAAAGAAAATCAGCAACGAACACAATGGAACAGAAAACAACCACACCACCTCTCGATACAATTCATCGGAGAGGACCACACTACATCCCGCCGATCGTGACATCCACCGGATCCAATGGAACAACCAAGTTGCGGCTTGTAGCAATGAAGATATCTACGGATATTGGATTGGCCCAGAAAAACTTGGCCATTTGACTTCTGGTCCAGAGGTTCCGCGTCTGCGCTACAGAGCAACAGTGTCACCGGCTGCTGTTTACTTTGATGGGTTGAATTCGTGTCCAACCGTACATATGGTTGTTGACGCTTGAGTTTCCTGCAAAGTAGATCGGTAGCTGATGATCTCTGCGTCTCTGCTGTCAGCGGCGTGAGGATCTCTGCTCATGTTACGTTTGGGATATTAGTCAATGGATATCTCTCGAGACATTTGACTCATCCAGAAATGAGTCCTCGGTTTGGGATTGTGGATATGGAAGCAAGGCGGGATTTCATTAGCGATAGTTATTCCTGTCACTGAAACCAATTCTTGTACTGTTCCAATTCAGGCCTACAATTAGCCTGACCATGATGGAAATGCCTGTATGGTAGCAATTCAGCCACAATGAACCATCATGAAAATTCTTCACATCTTTTCTATCTATAACTAGTACCCCTGGTAGCGCGTAGTTTATTAACTAATTAGTTATTGTCTGGTCTGCCTTGAAAAAAACAGCCTTACTTAGCCTCAGGCACTAGCTGTATCAGGCAGGCGGTGAGCCCAATAAAGGACACGGTCGATCACAAGTGGACGAACCTCCGATGCGATAATAATCCAAGATGCTGGACAGTTTTCTCTTTCCCTCTGTATTTCTGTCCGTCTGAAGGAGGACATGATTGTGATTTTGACCATCTAAAAGTTTTCTCTACTCTGCCGAGAACAGTGGTTTAGTGTTGCTCATACTTCCACGCTACGGACGGGGCGACCGTCTGCTTGATTTCGCCTCACCATGTCGACAGACTACACCTATGACGAGCAGGTGAGAGACATCTTGTGTGGTCCTTATGTATAGACTGGCTAATTCTGGTCATGACAGGGTCAATTCTTCCCATTCTTCATCCTGACTCTTACCGGCCTCGTCACTCTCCCTCTCACATATAACCTCCTCAAACCCACCAAGAGTACGTGTCTTTTCGATTTCAGTACGGACAACCCAGTTAACTGTTATACTGTCTAGACCTCGAAAACACCGCACCACGGATAAAGTCAGATTTCACACCCGAACATGCCGATCTCATCGAGGCTCAGAAGCGCAAACGCTTGCGCAAGGAATACCGGGTGAAGCGTATCATCACCGTGATCATTGGGTATGCGGTGATGGCGTGGATGATTTACTTGATCACCGTTACTGCCAGATCGACTCCCAAGCTCTGGGATCCATATGATATTTTGGGTGTTTCAAGGGTGCGTGGCTTCGTCCCTCCGTCCGAGTTTTGTGGATCTATTGCGCGGGAATATGCTGACCGTGTGTTTTGTTGATAGAGCGCCAATGAAAAAGCGATTTCGAGACACTACAAGCGCCTTTCTCTCATCTACCACCCTGACAAGATCCGCCCTGACCCCTCCAAGAACGAGACCATCGAGACACTCAACGACCGATTCGTCGAGTTGACCAAGGCTTACAAAGCGCTGACCGATGAGGAGATCCGTAACAACTACATCCAGTACGGTCACCCGGACGGCAAGCAGAGCTTCAGCATCGGTATTGCTCTTCCGAAATTCATTGTCACCGAGGGATTCGGAAAGTATGTTCTGTTGGTCTACGGAGGTCTTCTCGGTGTGCTTCTGCCTTATATCGTCGGAAAATGGTGGTATGGCTCTCAGCGGTACACAAAGGAGCGTGTTCTCGTCGCCAGTGCGGGCAACATGTTCCGGGAATACAAGGATGATATCACCGATGGCGGCATTGTCAACGCGTTGTCTTCGGGAGCAGAGTTCACTGAGACGCTCAAGGGATCTCGGGCAGATGCTGGTCTTGGGAAGCTTGAGAAATTGGTTTTGGCTGAAGGTTCTACGTTCCTCTCCTCTGAGGACCGGGAAGCTATCAAGCAAATGGACGAGTCTAGTCGGAGAAAGGCGCTCGCTTTGTTATGGGCGTATTTGGGCCGTGTCGATTTGGAAGATGCCTCTCTTAACGGTGGTAAGTTCGAAAATCGTCATTGCAATGTTTTGATTCTAATTCTCCATAGAAAAATACGAAGTCGCCCCGGTTGCCCTGTCTCTGAACGAAGCATTCAGGGCTATCGCACTCGCTTTCGGTAACCTTCGTCCTATGTTGAGCGCTTTCCGCACCTCGCAACATCTGATCCAGGCCATTGCTCCGGACGCATCGCCGCTTTTGCAACTTCCTCACTTTACCGATGAGGTTGTGAAGTCTGTCGAAGGAAGTGACGCCAAGGACCATCTCACTGTTCAGAAGTTCATGGATATCAACGAAGAGAAGCGGCGTAGTCTCACAGTCGGTGCTGGTCTTTTGTCGCAACAGCAATATGAAACCGCGATCAAGGTTGCCAAGCAACTCCCTGTTCTTGAAGTCTCCAGGGCCTTCTTCAAGGTCATGGGCGAGAAAGTTATCACCCCCAGCAGTTTGGTGCAGCTGGTTGTTAAGGGTCGATTTGTCCCCCCTGGCCACGCGAACGTTCCCGAAGTCAAACCCGAAGACCTCGAGGACGTTGACCCGGATGAGGATGACCTCGACGCTCTTATGGGCCGGAAACCCGCCAAGAACAAGGCCAACGGAGGAAAGACCGACAAGCTCGAGCCTGTCCAACCCCCCTTGGCTCACGCACCATATTTCGCTCGCGACCACTCGCCCCGGTGGCACATCTTCCTGGCTGATTCCAAGCAAGGCAAGATGGCCGTGCCTCCTTTCACCTTTACTACTTTTGACAAGCCGATCGTCGATGAGGCCGGCAACCCGACTTTCGACATGCAGACTCTGAAGATGCAGTTCCAGGCACCTCCTGGGGTTGGAGCGTTCACTTTTGTGATGCACATGAACTGCGACAGCTACATTGGCCTTGACATGAAGCAGGAGATCACGCTGCATGTTGAGGACCCGGCTAAGGCCGCTGCTCTTGGGGAGGAGGATGACATTAGTGAACCGGATGAGGGTGAGTACCTGGCCTTTACATAAAATAAGATGAATGCAAGCTAACCAGTTTATTAGATTCGATTGCCGGACAAATGCAGGCTTTGAAGACTGGCCAGCCGCCGAAGAAGAAGGCGAAGAAGCCTTCTGACTCTAGCGACGAGGATGAGAGTGATACCGACGGGGATGCGGGTGATACCAGTGATACCAACACCGAGACTGATGTGGATGATTGATTGCCATAGGAGGGATATTTTATTCATTTTTCACCAATGCTGTTGTATGGTGTTTTTTCTACCTCGTGCATGTAGAGGGGTAAAGGTTTATATATACCCCAGGGTATGGATACGCATGATTCAATCTTCTTTTTTCTCTTTTCTTTCTCTGTATCTGAGACTGGGTTATACTGTATGCTAGCTAGTTTAACTATGCATTTAGGGAGTTTGAATTGCTTTACTTCTACAGCTCGGCTCCTACCGCCGGCCTACAGCCCTGTCACTGGCGATCAGACTCCGACTCTGCAGGTGCGAGCACTATTGAGCATGAAAATCTTTGCTTGTGCCCCGTCAGAATGGGATGACTGCCGCCGACTAGTCTATACACGGAAAGCATCTTCACTGTGACGAGGACCGTGTGCGATTCTGCATTCCCCCGCCGGCATAACTGGAAGTGATATAATGCTTAGCAGCAGACTTTTTTTTTTTATCCACGGCGAACTTTGTCGGCGGTCTGTGTTGTGAGGGGTATAAAACATGGCTTTCGAGACAATTGATTCAATTCCAATCAACCATGGATAATTGACAATGTCCAAATCCGCCCAAAATACTACATCCCCGGCCATCGCCGAAACAGATACCTCCAAGGATACTACAGCCGAACGAACCCCAACCATAACAACAGCCCCCATCAACCCAAAGGATGCCGACGACACAACCACCTTCTACAACACCCACAAACCCCTCATAAACCTCCTCCCACCCGCACAGGAATCCCGCCTCATCCGCAAAAACCTGCTCTACCTCCTCGGCCAAACATGGTGGATATCGTTTCTCATCCATCTCGACCGCGCGACGCTCTCGTCCGCGAGTACGATGGGCATTTTCAAGGATGTGAAAATGACAAAGAACGAGTATAATAAGCTGTTTATTGTGTTTTATGTCGGGTATTTGGTGGCGTTGTGGCCCGGGGCGTGGGTGTCGCAGAGGATTGGACATAAGAGGTTTATTACGGGATCGTTGTTTTGTTGGGCGGTGTTGGTTGGGGTACATCCGGCTGTTAGGACGGGGAGGGAGATGATGGCTGTGCGGTTTTTGCTGGGATTGGTGCGCATCCCCTGTTCATCAGCCTTCTGGGTGTGAGATACTGAGACATGGTAGACGGAATCACAGATCGTGCCTTCAACGGCAATCCTGCATCAAGCGTTTTTTCCTCCGAAGAAGTCGCCCTGGGTTCAGTTGTTATGGTGGACGGCTGGATCTCTTGCTAATGTTATGCTGACTATGGTCGCTTACAAGCTCATTAAAGATGATAATGCGGGAACGCTCATCGGGGGCATCGCGTCTTGGAAATGGCTACATATCATCTGCGCAATCGTGACATTCGCCATATTCCTCCCGTTGGTATTTTTCCTGCCAAATACGCCCGTTGAAGCAAAGTGGTTGTCGACAGAGGAGAAAGTGCATACTATTGAGATGATTCGAAGAACAAGAGCTGGAATCGTAAATTCGACATGGAAATGGGAACATGTCAAGGAGTGCTTCTTGGATGTCAAAAGCTGGCTATTCATGTACGCCACCCCCTTACACCTACCCAGACACATTACTTACAAGAGATGAAAATAGCTTTCACATGTTCTTCAACGAACTCCCCAACAACACCTCCGCCCAAACCCCCCTAATCCTCGTCGGCTTCGGCTTCACCCCCGCCCAAAGCGCCCTCTTCAACATCGCAAAACCCCTCTGGGGCATGGTCCTAATCCTAATCTCCGCAGCCCTCCTCTACGCCACAAACCTCGGAACAGGCTACACCTGCGCTCTATCTTACATACCCTGTTTAATCGGGGGAATCATCGAGCTTTCATCTCCTTGGTCGAATAAAGTAGCGCTGGTAGTCGGGACACAGATATCGTCGTTTAAACCGTCGTATCTGCTGGGTTTGAATTGGGCGGGGACGACGACGACGGGGCATACGAAGAAAGTAACTCTTATGTCGTCGTGTATTGTTGCGGCGGCGGTTGCAAATATGATTTCGCCCGAGTATGTCTACTTTTCTTTCAGTTGATATCAAAATTATGCTGCCGAATTGCTAACCATGTGCATGACAGATTCTGGCAATCAAAATACAGCCCCCGCTACGTCCTCCCATGGTCCTTCATGACAGCCTTCTGGTTCATATCGCCCATGATGTGTCTAATCATCCGGTTTTACTTGAACCATCAAAACAAACTTCGAGAAAAGACTTTGGGACCAGGGGAACAGGGTGGCGAGCAGGAGCAGGAGCAGGGGAGTGAGAGTGAGGAAGATGTCAGGGGAGGGTTTTTGGGGGATATGACGGACCGGGAGAATTTGAGGTTTGTTTATCCACTTTAGGTTGGTTTGTCTGAGGGGCGAGTGAGGGGTTGGGTTGGGTTGGTTGGTTGGTTGTGTAACGTGTTTGTTTTGTGGAGGATAAGGGGGTAGTGGTCTGGTTTGAATGCTTGAATGGAAAGTGATGCATGATGAAAGTGAATAGATATCAGAAGTAGCAGATATCTTAAAATAAAAAGGAATCCACATAATCTGCACACGATCAGTGCATATCCTGAAAAGTACATAGTATGTAGATACAAGTAAAGACAATAACCCTTAGGGCATAAAACAAGACCACAGCACGATATTGGACAAAGTCCAAGTTTTCTTTCATTTTCTCATATCTCATATCCTAACCAGGGGTATGGTGGTGTGGTATCTTAATGAATGAACATAACAAAACTCCCGAAACCGAAATCACCGAAAATCAAGACTCAAAGCAAAAGGGTATCAAACCCGGCCACGCCATGCAAACGATTGATGTGCGATCTCAACGAAATCAAATCAAAGTCAAGAATCAAAGGCAAAAATGCCAGGCAAAACAAGTCGTTAAGCGTAACTCGTAAGTCATGTCTATGACATAACAAGAAAAGAAGCGAAGCACAACAAAATAGATAGATAGACAAACACATACACAGCTATCTATCCAACGAAAACGTCCAGCCCGTCGCAAGAGCGGCATACATCGGCTGCTGTTGCTGCTGCTGCTGCTGCTCCTGCAAAGTAGAAAGATGCTGCTGATACGCATTCAGAATGTCAAGGGGCAGACCAGCTGTCGCCGTCTGAGCGTGAGGCTGAGGCTGAGTATGAGAGTTCGTGTCCAGGCCCGTGGGAAGCATCATCGGGGGATGGATGCGGGTGCTTGGGTCCTCCGCGTAGTACATGTACGGAGACGTGAGCGGGGTATCGTGGTGACTGGTTGCCGCGGAGGGGAGGGTGGCACTCGTGCAGGTGCTTGTGCATGAGGGGATGTCGTTGCCCAGACTGACGGTTGTGTCGAGGGAGAGTCGGGGCATTATCAGGCCTTGCTGACGTTGTTGGGGAGTATGGTAACCTGTACCCGAGTAGCCGGAATACTGGTAGTTCTGCTGCTGCTGCTGCTGCTGCTGCTGCTGTGGCTCCGCCTGAGTTGGAAGCATGTCAGCCTCCCACTTAAACGGCTTGTGCAGAGACTCGGCAGGGCTGCAGATACTCGAAGTCGGCTGAGAGGGCGTAGCAGGCTCCGGAGACGGATCGGTCGTCGCGCTATCGGTCGAGTTGCTCGAGAGGTACCGTAGATACTGCAGGTCCTCGGACTCTTCGTTCGGGTCTTCGGGACTCTCTTCGGCTTGTCTTATGATGCCCATTCGGTCGAGGATGTCGTGGGTTAGGGGGTGGCCGTCGGCGGTCATTTGTAGGGGGTCGCCGGGGAAGCAGTGATTGTCGGAGCAGATTCTGTGGAGGCCTTGGAGACCTTTGACAGCCATGGATAGGTTGGATTCAAGTAGTTCGACGTAGCTATTGCTAAGCAATTAGTATGTTTCTGATGTCATAGTTCCTTGGGGGAGACTTACCCCTTTGAGTACACCCTCGTCTGGGTAGCCTTTCTCTCCCGAAACAGACACGGGTGGTTATACGCGGCGCAGCGGTTGCAGGGTTGCTTTCCATCGCACTTGAGCCAGTCAGTTTCTGGAAGCCAGCAGGAGAGCAAAGAGAAAACAAAATACTAACCTTGGTCTTCTTGATCCTGCACCGGTCACAAGCCTTAAGGACATGCTTGCGCTTGACCCGGAACACGCGTTGTGGTTTTTCCTCCATTTCCTGTTGGCATTCAAGTTCAGAGAACTGTGCTACCGCGGTGAGATCATAGAGATTCTCTGGTAGACCGGGGATATTCGTCTTGGGACGGAGCTTTGGTTGTCGGGGCATCGGTACTTCTGCTGTAGCCGCTGCGGAGGAGTAACAACCGAGAAAAGATAATGAAGACGAAACTCTTCAAGAATGAAACTGACTCAGTGTGCGCAAGTAAATTGACAGCAAGTCACCAAAAGAAAAATTGAAGAAAACAGAGGCTGAAGTACTTTGACGAGCAGGTGGGGGAGGGGCTTTATAAAAGTACAACAAGGCGGCTTGGACTGATATCACTCTTTTCGTGCCAGATACCGAAAAAAAAAAAAGCTGCAAGCCCCGCATAAGCAGATCCTTATAGCCGTGCCTGTCTGTCCAATTGCTGTATACTACGAGAGACCTGCCAGCGAGTGACGTGGAAAAGCTCTGGCGGCTGTGACAGGTACATACATACATGGGCATACTACTACACCGCAGTTACAGGGAAAAGAAAAAGAAAAAAATGCCCCGCAAACAAAAATGCAAATACTGTACATGATTGCTGCCCCACGCTCCTCTGCTTCGCTCTAGGGCTGCTGACACGAATTGAAGCAGAGGAGGATTTGCCGTCAAACGGTCCGAGCCGATGGCAAATAGGCGGGTCAAAGACGGACAGACAGGACGACAAGTGACAAAAAGACCCCGGTCGTTTGGGCAGCGAGGGACAGGGTGACATACATTTTCGATTATCGTCACGCCGAGGTTTGCGCTGCGCTGTGCAATGGCAGAAAGTGTCAGCATGGCATGGCTTTTGAGTCCAGTGACCATGTGGACAGGGATTTGGCGCTAGAAGTAACTCTGTAGAGGCTCTGTCGGTGAGCATGGCAAAATAATAATACTCATAATAATTTCAATCCACTGGACGGCATTGGGTGTACAAGCACATGATACACAGGTAGTCCCTTAAATCACTCAAAGTATAGGCACAATCTGAGAGGGAAATGAGCACGCGCTATCACGTTCTGCCCGGATGAAACTCGTCCGATATTCAATTGTGTGCTTCTCATGGGCGAGCACTGCAGAAGGATTGATGTAACGAGTCAAGCATAGGATATGTGGCTGGTATGGGTACATGGCATATGTACACTATTGCAGATGAGGGGTCACCATCACCCATTTTTCCAACCCGTTTATCTTCATGCAACTAACAAAGAAGGAATCACATGAATAACGAGTACTGCAGTACTCCCTTTGTCCGTCTCACCTAGTCGTATCATAGGTACAAGGACCGGGTATCTCATTAACCAGTCGCCGAGGAATTACAGTTCGCCATGACTTTGCAAGTTGTACGGTTTGATTAGTGACTGGCTGGAAGGTGATTTGAGTATTCTGTATCAGACTTGACATCATAATCTGTATATACCATGTCAGTGAAAAACGAGCTAAAACACTAGGGTTAGGCAATCAAATATCAACATTATTAAAAACGACCCCGCTTTGGGGAGAATTTTGTTTAGATCTCTTTGTGAATAAGCAGAAAGAAAAAGAATGATCATTCAGCGCCTGGAGAACATCCCAGCCTTATCCCGGTCAATGCACTGCCACAGTAAAGGATGGCCATGCGTGAAAGAATGCAGTGATTCGATGATGTTGAAGATCGCCATTTCTTTTTCACCAGGGACCGGAGGCTGAAAAGCAATCATTCTGCTCTGACAGGCCTGCGACGCAAAAGCAACAAACATCTTGCCTCGGTGTTACTGGCGGCGGTTAAACGGGCTATTCGAAAATTCATTCTAGTGTTGTTCGTGACTCGGGAATATTCGATTGCTCGGTCAATAACCGGAAGACCCGATTTATATCTAGTAGAGTATGATTCTGACTGTGCATGACGTAAATCTGTATATCTCTCAGGCGATAATAGGGCGATCCTCTAAACAAAGGATATACAAATTACCGCACTTACTCGAAACGGAACGGCCTTTCCGATTCTGCACCAAGTAGAAAACATGCTGTAGAAAGAAATACCCAGCGGATACGAGTCCGACGGATGAAATCACGAGTGTAACAAATGCCTCAAATCCGGAGTGATATCCGATGATGCAGATGCGATTTGGCTCAATACAATCAGAACCAACCAATCTACCTTTGGGAGTGATGACGATGGCGATGGTGATGGCGATGGCAAACCACTTATTGGGTAGTCAGCTGACCACTACTGACGATATGAACCCTAACTTGACAGCCAGCGTATTGCCGCTAATTGCATATGCCAGCTCCTAAATAATTCTCAAATGAAACATTTTCTACTGCAACAACATCATACAATTAATTCTAATCTGATACATACAAAGGAGATCTCGTTCTGTCACTTCCACATGCGGATTCCCCACAAATCTTGATGTTGGACCGGCCGTCGTCGAGCCATGGTTCTACCACGCCTTCGAGGCATGGCAAAAAAAAAAAAAAAAAAAAAAAAA